CTGCTCAAAAAAATCGACCCATCCGATTTAAGCTTTGCACATCAATCTAGTATGCGAAAATGCTGCTATTTAGGGATTTTTACCAGTCTTTTTTTTTCCATATAACATCTTTTCCAATTAAGGCGTTGTATGTGGACCGATTCAATGAATTTTCAACAACATCCTCTCTTTTCGTCTCTCTCTTTCGGTGGTCGCAATACTGCAGTATATGATATGCAAAATATTTGAAAAGTTTGCACGCAAAACTGCATTGGCAGACGTCAGGCGTCAAATCGTTTCAGAAAAGGATTTCGTATGAATCGCTGTAATCAATGATAAGTCGATCGTAAGTCCTTCTGAGTGTTACATGCATTCGCATAAATCTCAATGAAATACTTTGCAGTTTTACAGTTTATAACGATTGAAATTGCCAATTATGGAAGATTTGCTCATCAATCTTCAAATTGATATCCATTTCTTATTTGTCCAAAAGGAACTTACGAAAGCGATATGAGGATCAACGGCAAATGTGCTGCAAAAAAAGCAAGAAAAATATATAAGAAAATTATATTCGGGCGTGACCGAATCTTTGATACCCGTCACCGTTACCCTAGAACGACCAAAAAAAAGTAAAAGAACTAAATTTTCATGCTCTATAATCAAGAATAGACGCTGCTGATTTTTTCCATTTACAAAATAGGACATATGTATAGGCGTGTGAGCGTTAAAGACGTGTCCTCGGAAAAGTTTAAGTCACTTGCAACTATTTTTGCTAACGGTAGAATCGTTACCACAGACTCTATACAACTGCGCAGGCAGACAGATGGGCAGACGAACAGGCAGGAAGGTTTAAATGCATTTCTAATTTTAATCTGGCCAAGAATTTATATACACTAAAAGTTCCTTATTCGCGCTTCCTTTATTCGCGGTTTCACTATTCGCGGATGAAAAAAATGCGACCAATTCCCATATTCGCGGCTATAAGTTTCTTTATTCGCGGTTTTTGAGATTGGAGAAACAAACAGAATGAAAGGAACTTGATTACTCAATGTATAAAGTATTGTTGCGACAATCCCAAATCTAATTCATTTTAGCTAAGTGATTTCCCCAAATAACAAATTGCCTAAAGAGGGAAAAACTAAATGCACATTCGCGTTCAATTAAATTGATTTTTTTTATTTTGTCACCTAGGACCGTATCCCTTATAATCCTATATAAATTGCCATTCCGTATTCACGGTTTCTTTTTTTATTTTGTCACCTAGGAACGCATCCCCTGTAATCTCGTATAAATTACCTCTCCGTATTCACGGTTTCTGTATTCGCGACATTTTTATGGAACCTATCCCCTGCGAATAAGGAACTTTCACTGTTCTTGATATGGTTGTTAAAGCTTGTTTCTGCGTGTTATAAAAATATTAAAAATAGAATTATACTTTGATACTATTAGGTAGGCGTGATCAATTTTTTCCATTTTTGTACGGGTGTTACAACATCGCCCATAGAATATGCGTTCAAATAATTGTTCATTTATCTGCCATGGTATTTCTCTTCAAAAACCGAGGTATTCTCAGTTTACTTTGTGCTGTGGGCGTGTCCATAACCCAGTTTCAATACCAACCTGCATACAAGAACTTCCAATTTTTCAGCCAAATTTGAAGTCGATAGCTTAATTGATGCGGCCAGGAGAATATTTACAACAAACATTATACAGGCGGACAGACGGACATGCTTAAATCGATTTAGAATGTCATGCTGATCAAGAATATACGTCCTTTTGTGGGATCTGTGATGTTTCCTTCTGTGCGTTGCAAACATTTTGACAAAACGAATATACATCTCGGTCTTCGCTGATGGATATAATAATGACTTCTCTGACCTCATATGAATATAATAATTAAAATAATTTGATATTCGTATACGTAATTCCTTAAGGTTTTTGTGTATGTCCTTTCAAAAGCTTTAAGAGTTGATGTTAATTTTGTGAAAAAGTTAAATGCAAACTTGTTTTACTACTTCACAGGACATCTCATTGTGGAATGCCAATAAGGCGCGACTTCTTCCAGAAAGTAATAAAATAAAGACCCCGCATACGTAAAGACGAAGACGATATTAGCAACAAAACAAATCTTGAATTGCCATCGTTTTACGCAAATGCAACAGTCGCGATTGAGAAATTTTTCTGTCGATAAAAGCGATTTCATGTTCACAATATACGATGTGTGTTCAAAAAAAAGCGATAACTTCTTGTTTTTCGCGAAAAATATTTTTTTGTTCATCAATATCTATTTTGTCCCCTTCAATATAGTACCGATTAGATATAATACACTTGTGTCAGCGGTTTCTTCAATCCTCGAAGCATTGATAAGGCCTTCACGATCTTTCAGTGGTGTGCCCTTTGGCTCTTTAATCATGCCAAAGCTTCTTCCCATTCATAGGTCTTTTCAATTTTGAGAATAGGAAACGTCGCAGGGCGTCAAGTCCGATTAAGGCATGATTAATGCGCTGCCTGTGAATGATGTGTGAAACACAATTCGATGTCAGGCGTTTCAGGTCCAAAACATCCGAAAAAGTTGTACGGCATAAGTCAATCGGTATGTCGACATCCTCAGCAGCTTCTCGAGTATTGATTCGACGATTTCCTATAACAATTTTTTTCACTGCTTCATCGTTTTGATTGGTTGTAGACGTGCTGGAACGTCCAGGGCGAGCACAGTCATTGAAATCTCCTCGGACTTCTCCGAAGAGCTTGTGCCACTTATAAAGTAAAGCAAGACATCTTAAGTGAATTGAACTTAATTTTATTTTTCACACAAAATCTAATACAAACTCTTTGATCCATTTTTATTATAGGGAAAAATCGCCAAGCACACTAAAACGCATGAAACCTTTGCATCTGGCAAAAACAAAGTAAGAATGCAAAATGGCTGATACATGTCAACACATGTTAAAAACAAAAGGAAAAACAACATTCAAAAGTCAAATGTATACACCTGGTCAAATGGCTTCATTTTATTTGACAATCTTGATTGTTGCCTCAACAATAAATCCTTCACTTAAGTAAATGGAATCGGGACAAAATAAACGCACAACACTGCACCGCACTGCAATATTTGAATCGAGTCTGTTAAAACACGTTAACGGATATAATTAACTCCTCAGAAAGTCGTTGTAATGAATCATCCGCAATGGCATTTTCACTGCGCATAGAAAAGGAACTGTCCGGACAATGCCTTTACAGTCCGTAAATCGCTTAAACGTTAAAAGTCCAAAGTCCGGGCAAAAATAGACCAATTATTACGAAAACTAAAACACCCTTAAAATTCAACACAAGAATATGGATAAATTGCAGTTTCGGAACAGCACACTTATCAAAGAAATATGCACTCTAAAGGATCTTTGATACGTGATAGCCAATGATTGGCTCAAAGTCGCACAAAGTTCTTGCATCACACCTCTAACGATTGAGGATAACAATTCGGTAAGTAATCATGGCGTAGTATGGATAAGAAAGTCAACTATGAACTTGCCGCACCCGAATCGAATTCCCAATGCTTTGTCATATTTAATCTGTAAAGGCGTACACCATGCCGACCTGGCATACATCGCCCATGTTGCGATCATCACTGTACGTGTAGGGAACATAACATGATTAACTGCTCATAAAAAAAAAAATAAATAAATAAAAAACAAGAATGTTATTTTGGAAGCAACAAAAACTTTAATAGCCTAAGACAGATATTTTCAGCCTTTATGCCACTACGCTTCCTCGAGATATAAAGAAATCTTCGCTCATCTCCCTACACCTCTTTCTAAATAGATATTAATATATTTAAAGTAAAAAGAGACTTTCTTTTCAGAAGCAAACTCAATGGCGCAAACAAATGTTTACTACATTTTTGTACTATACACCGCTTGTGCCACAAGGCTATGTTAAGTTCGTATGGATGTACTCAACGACCAGAAGGACTTGAGATAGACTCACCTTTTATTATGACAATCGATTCCGAATCACTTTTCAATTTGACTTAAACGTGTCTGTTCGTCTTTCCGTCTGTACATTTTGCTTTCTGCTTATCATCTTTTGAGACATTTTGAAATTAGGCACACTGACCGACTTTGGCCCAAAGACGAACGCTGTTGTAAAGGGTTCGGATAGAACCATTTATTCAAGCACTTCCCACATAACGCCTTAGTTTTAAAAGTCATTCTATGTGTAACTAAAAGGTGATATAAGGTTTACATTGCCGTCACTTCATCAAATTTTACATAACAAAAAAGTTCATGCGCCTCTCAAAGAAAATCGGGTCCCACCGGTTCAGAAACTCCGAACCACGTTTGCTTAAGTGATCCAAGGCTATTTAGTTAAGCAAAGCAGGGAAAATTGGCGGCCAAAGTAAACGAAACCATACATATGGATGTAAATCAACAAATGGCCCAGTAATGCACAAACAACGAACAATTTAATTATCGATATACTATCTTCGCTTTAAAGTTTATTTTGTCCAAAAGAGATGATTTCTTCTCAGCAAATAACGGGGCTTTTCTTTTAAAAAATATTAGAGCAAAAATCTACGCAATTATTTCTTCCTCGATTCCTTGATTTCACTACCAACATATTTCCTTCATTATTTTAAGTAACAAGAGATCATTTGAAAAAGATAAATATATCAAAAAATGAATATATCGTATAATTATGCGTATAGTAATCTTGCGCAGATAATGAATATATTGCAAAAAGCAAACAAATAGTTACAATTAAATATTATTATAAATTCGATATACATCATTACATATTAAGCTGCCCGTTTGTGCTACCGGTACCCGTGAAATAATAAAAATTTCTTACCTTAAAAGTATCGAGATATTTAAAAGAGAATATTGAAAAACGATCGTAAGACGACGCTATTATACATTTTACGAATTGAAATAATTTTTTTATATTTGATATAATATTTTTTATAATCAAAGTTCTTAAGAAAAAAAGCATTGTATTTGAACATAAATGTTTAAAGAACTTACCTCAATAACACTGTCTCTTCCCAAGCCGGAAAGAACTTTTTTATTAAGTTGTTGTTTACGAGCGGCAGCCGTAGCGCCCACTAAACGTAAACCGCATGAACCGGTACCGCTGAGTCCCGTGGCCGCAGCTGCTGCCGTCGCATAGACTACTTCGTCCTCTTCGTCGTCGTCTTCTATGACTTCGTCTTCGTCATCCGCCACCGCGTCTTGATCGCCCAGTATGTTATCGTCGTCGTCGTCCAAACCAGAACCGGTTAAATTAAAATCATCAGTAGCAGCAGTGTCTACATCCAATTGTTGTTGAAAACGTAAATCTAAATCTTGGGGTAGTTTAGCATATTTCTTGTGATTTTTCATTGTTTTTGCGATGAAAAACGAAACAGAAGTTAACACTACATAACACAATCAACTTCTTAATTAACAATGACTCATTTAACAACAATAAAAATGAAGCAGAAAGCGCACAAGTGCGTGCTTAAATTTAGTGCTTATAAAGAAGCACTTATGATAGAAAATTAAAAAACGATTTCTCATCAAAAATATGATATTAAAAAAAATAAATAAACAAATAATTATAGTAATAATAGTAATAATAATAAATCATAAATAGAATTTGATTTTCTCTCTTTTAGGTTGTCGCCAACATTTACTATTTTGATTCAGTCATTCAACGTTTATTGTTGTTTTTGTTTTGTGAAATGAATAATAAACGTTCCTTTCAAATGGGAACAATCGATTTTTATTTTTCCTTCTCAACCCGTTGCAATTATATGAGACATTCCAAGCAATTACAGGTAAATTACCAACAGGTTTTTTTTTCTTTTTTTTTCTTCTAATTTTTTTCCCACTACTTTTAACTGCTTTTAATCATGTAATTATTACCGCCGTTATTATTGTGCTTGTTGTTTTGGCGTTTAATTGTTTATGTTTAGTTTTCTTTTCTTTCGCACAATTAAAAAAATCACTAAAAGCTTTCACATCACATTGATTAGAAATTAGAGCACATATGTGAAATTCTAAAGACTGTGACGGAGAGAAGAGCGCATCGTGTTGTTGTTATGGTTCTTGCCTCATTGAATAGTCAAGGATGCGTTATACAAATGTACAAAAATCCGCATACACGCACACATATATGCACATCTTATTTATAAGCGACATATTACCGGCTGTTAAACGAAAGTAAAAAGTTTAGTTATACTTTCTTTCTTCAAGTATTGGTTCGCTGCACTTTCCTTTTTAATTATTTGCTTTTTTTTCCTTTTTTTTTTTCTTTTTTTTTTAATATGTAATTTACTTGTTTTTAATTTTTCCCACTTTTCTTCAAGGAGAAATATTTTTCTTTTACTTTTCCTCAACGATTATCCCGACTTATAATTTTCACACGACCATTATCTTTCACATACAAAACGCGTTTGTGCAAGAATTTTTTCATAATTTGTAACATAACTATCTCATATATATTCAACTTAACAACAACAAGTTCCTATTGGCAAAGCGCAAAATCCAATATATTTGTTTTGACTTGTAACAAAGCTTATTATGTCAAGCAAGCGAAGCATCATTAAAGACCGTATATGCAATATCGTAAAAGCAGAATAACTGAACATATAGATCGCATTCACGCATCATTTGGCTAAAGTGTATCACAGATGAATTAAATAAAAAATAAATTAAGAAAAATTTTTGTGACAACTATTTGAAGCATTTGACGAATGTTTACAAAAAGTGAAATATTTTTAAAACAAATATCGATCAACGATACTTTCCATGATATAATTAAAAAGAAATCGAATAAGGCAAAATGCCTCGAATCAGTTAATTTTGCATTAAATTAATTCTTTAATTTAATCAACAACGATTATGCCATCAAAACGAGAAACCATTTTCCGCAAAAAAATCTCCACAATTATATTTCGCAAAACATTTACAGCATTCCGCTTTATAAAAATTTTACAAAATTCATAAAGCATGTAGCTATAATATAACATGTAAACAGACGTCTAACTAAATTATACTTATAATTACATGGGTGCTAAGAAAGTTGCTAAGGTCAAAACACATAAAAAATATATATTATAGCATAGGTGTAATGGAAGCAAAAATATGCAACGACTAGGTGTTTTTATCGAACGGTATTAACGTGCAACTGAATACTCAAGTACTTATATGAGTTGAATGACAAATACGTGTAGAGCCGCAATAATTTGTGATAAAAAAACGATTTTTCTAAACAGCGGTACTTACTTCATTTGCCTTTTTATTCATCAAATAAACGCTTTTCTCAAATCAAAAGATGATCGACAATGCAATTTCTTAATGGCTAAGTGAAGAAAAAAAAAATTTAAAAATTTAGTTTTAAATTCAATTTTTGTATAAATAACATTTATTGCTAGCACAAACATATACTTGTCTCTGAATCTGCATATCCCTAAAGTTAAAACACATAAACCCTTTACATTCAAGCATATGCCAAGTAGACGTATAAACATTTATGAATTTTCTCATGCAATTTTAAAATTGATAGCTGTACAAATAAAGTTCTTCCGTTTGTTGGGAGAATTCAATTTCATTTAAAATTTCAGTGCTAGAAAACTTAATAATGGAAATATATGTCGCCATTGTGTATGGCCGGGTACCTCACGGATGCCTTGTCGATTTGGGGACGAAATGGCCATTCACCCAATTTCACCCCTCTCCAACCTCTTGTGAACCGTTGACCTAATAAATATGGCTGGATCGATTTGATTATATATTTTTTTATATATTTAATGATGAAAATCGTTCATTAATCATATGATTACGTATAGTTTTGATCATAGTGAAAGGTTGATTCGATTTACCTTTTATGTGATCGCTTGTCTACAAGCTAGAACTCAACGTAAATTGCAAACGCGTCACTAATAGTTGATATAAAAGTTTTAGTAAAAATTTTTGAAATCAAATCCTTATGCATAAAATAACCATAATTAAAATCTAATGTGATTCTTAGTCAACTTCACTTTATGTAGAAAAATTCGATGGCCTTTCTTCTGATCTTCCTCGCCAACTTTTAGTTAAGTTACCTTCTGGTTCCTAATTAGTAGTACCACAGCTGCTTATAGATATGCATATGCATCAGCCTCGAGAGAGGAAATTGAACGAAATACGCATCAATGGGTCTTAGCATAATGCAGTGCTGTGCTTCCATTAAATAAGGAGTCTGCTAAACCGCTAACTTTACTGATCGCCATCTAGTATAGTAACTGCATTACAACTAACTATTGTTCTGCGACAGGGGACACAAAGTGGGCTACCGAACTGCCACTTCATAAACAGGTCGCGATTTAGACATCTTAGCGGGTACCAACAAAATTTTTGCAAAAATAGAAAAACCCTACAAGCTTGAGCTTGAGGAGTGCCTCAAACACTCGATATAAAAATTTCATTACATCGGCACAAATCGCATGACATATCTTCTTGATGAACGTCTAGCTATTCAAAATAAAATTATTTTACTTTCAACAATATTCTTGCAAAAATAGTAGAACTCTAGAAACTTGAGCTTAGCGGTTGCCTGGCACGCTCGATATAAAAATTGGCACAAATCGCATGACATATTTTCTTTATGAATGTTTAGATGTTCATGTTTTTATTGTAATAACGTTCTAATAAATAAAAATCATATAGTAAGCTTGAATATTAAAATATTCAAGCTTAGCTTAGTGGAAGGAAAAGAATATTCCTACAAATACAGAATTTTTATACCGGCCCATAAACGCATTAATTCCAAGGTTTTTCACAAATGTCTGTCAATTAGTTTAAGGAGTAACAACTTTGTAACATACTTCAAAATGAGAGTTCCTCGCAACATGTTTTTGGATAATATTCGTGAAGGTTACTAGGCGTATGTTTACTAAAACAAATGGCTTTAGATAGTAACAAAGAGTGGCAACACTGTAACCATTCTCTGCGAGTATGTTCAAGTCAAAGGATTTGGTGGCACTGGTTCAACTGTTTCAAATTTGAACAAAAAAAAAACATTTAATCTACAGATCTATATCTACAGAAATATGTAAAATTCTTCCGAACTATTGATTTTCGTGTAATTGACGTATACATTGACGTAAGATATTATGCTGTTACTTCTCAGCTAGAATTCACTTGAAGCAGGCAATCTCTTCGGACAGCAATGGTAAAGAAGCGCGAAATTTCAAGGACAAAATTTCTTGAAGGTAATGTGTTTTTTTATCTTTTCGCACTTATTCTCGAAGGTCCAAAGCATATATTAAATGAATTTTAAAAAAATTATTTTTTTCCGAAAAATTTACCATAGTATTATCCCTTATATTCGATGCGAAGGAAACGGGATCTTAATTATTTATGTGATCTCTAATCATATCAAACTCGAGTGTATTTGTACATATGCCCAACTCTTTTTTTACGCGGTCTTTCTTTACCCGATTTTGAAACAACACTGGTTGTCAATAAGAGCTAACTATACTTTTTTGCACGAATTTTTGGTTTTTGCACAAAGACAAACAAAAATCTTTTTTATGTAAGTCTAATTTTGACAGTATCTTACAGAAAATTATTTATACAACAATAAAATACAAATGAGGAAATATCGTGACCAGAAGTCGATCGGTATATGCCCATATATGTTTTAGTAACTAGGATAATTTGATTGATTGCGAAATTAATTTTTATTTCTAATTTCAATTTAAATTTTTTTTATGTTGTACTTATGAACTGAATTTTCGCTGTAACATAATTTTATTTTTTATTTTTTTATAATAAAAATGAATCAGTACGCTTTATGCATACATATGTAATATGGATTTCATTATTACTTTTTTTGCAAGTTTCGTTTGAAAGTTTTGCATTTAGAGCTCTTTCGTTTTACACGATTTTTTAAAGTAATGGAACATACCATTTGACGTATGTATTTTTCTGCACGATTGCTTTTTTTGCACGATCTTCTAAAAAAGAGTTGGGTGTGTACATTTTGAACATTGGATATAATATATGGCAGCACTGGTAATTATCTAAACCAAGAACATTTCTTTAAAATTTTCTATTAATTTTCTTACCATCTTTGATTTTTTGACAAATTGCTTTCATAGAAATAACTTAATGGCCATTCATTGTTTTTTTTTTTTTTATTTTTATTATTATTGTATGAAGAGTTTATTCGTTTTATTTATTATTTTAATTTTATTATTTTTTATATGTTAATATTTTATAATTTTTATATATATAACTCTTTTAGTTTCTTTCATTGATTGATTTATAATAAATTAGAGTAATTAAAAAATATTTAGATAAATATATATTTAAAAAAAAAATTTTTTTTTTCTTCTTACGACATATGAAATATTTATGTGCTTATAAAAATTATTTATTATATAAGAAATGCTTCATACAAATAGCTACCACAAATAAATGTACTGTTGTTGTTTTTGTTGTTGTTTCTTATATATTATGTAAAATTAAACAAATTTTAATAAAATATTTTTTCAAAAAACATTTTTTCCATATATCAATCATAAAAAATAAAATATATAAATAAATAAATAGAAGCAAATAAAAAAAAAAAAAATGTTTTTCAAGATTTCATTTATCTAAATTTTTAAATTATATCCGCCTGATGATTATTACAGTGTCGAGTATGCACATAAATACAATTACATAAATACTGATTTTACAAAAATTTCAAAAAGCTACACAAAAATTAACAAATTTTAAATATATTTGCTTTCAGATACACACACACACACACACACACACACACACACACACACACACACACACCCATACATACATACATAGACACATACATACATACCTACGTAGACATACTTTTAGACGCGCACGCACACATGCAGAAGATAATGGAAATTATCGTGATTGTTATACAAATTATATCTAAATATATGTAAATATATATTTTTGTGTAAAAAATTTCACCAAAAGAGAAATTAACGAGATTAGCAAGTTCGGCTATATATTAAGCATATTGTGTTTATTTATAAGCAGAGCTGATAATAATATATATTTTAATATCTGTTTAAATGCATTAAGTACATAAATTACCGCAAACCCTAGCAGGACTGTCATTATAAATGTAAAAAAAAACACATTAAAATACTAAAAAACAAGAGGCAAAAAAAAAAAAAAAAAACGAAAACTATGCTCTAACGTTTTCATCAATTAAATAAAAAAATTATGTCTACCTTGCGAAGACTTAACTTCAGTTCTCGCAAATTTTTTGGGATTTAGAGTCAAATAGATTACTGGAGGATAAATGAAATCTCTAGATGATGAAATTAGTCATTCCAACGAGTATACTCTTGTGATTTTTATGCATTTTTCATAATTCATTTAGGAATGTTTTTCTCCTTCCTGATCACCCCTATCATGTATATATATTTATTTATTTATTTTTTTTTCTGATATCCATTACTGAAGCATAAGAAAACACCAGATTTGTCCTGCCCTTTATAGAGTTGAGAACAACGCTTCAAACGTTACTTTTTGGAATAAAAAACGAAATATTCTGACTCGATCAGAGAAGCAAATGCTTTGCATTTTCATACATTTACACATAATAAATAGGCAAAAAAAAAAACTTTGAACCTACTAGAATCGCTTCCGTATTTTTGTTTAAAACTTTGCATAAATCTTTCCTTTCCTTCCTAAGGAAATTCATAGATCATAGTTAACTCGCACATATACGCTTTAAGAAGAAAACAAACTATTATAGTCGAGAAGAGAGACTTTCCCCCAAAGCCATCAAAAACCTCATTGCGGACATGATTTTATATTGAAAACATATTTAGCAATTTTCATGCATTGGCTTATGATAATGGATTTCAACAATTCGCTTAAAGACGAATAACATCTTTTCGTTAGTTATTTTACAATTAATTAACCTCTTCACTGCAATATTTCTCCAGTTCTGGAATTTCTAAGAAAATATAGAAGACAAGTTTCTCTTAACGTGTCATGACTTTAATAGAATCGAAAATTTTACGTCTGTGCACAAGTCTTTTGCATTTAATAAGAAAAAGTCGTGAAGTATGTGAAGTATTGGTCGAATTGTTGGTCGAATATTAGGACTTGATTGTTAAACAGATTGAAGAATATTTTACTGATGAAATTCTCTGCAAAACCCGTCGTTTCTTTTGGGCTCGTCTTCATTTATTCCGTGAACACTTTGAAATTTTTGGAATGGACAAGGCAAAGGTGACGTTTCGATCTCTGAGGTCGATTTTTTTTTCTTCTTCATTCGTAATTGAAATGGAATTAAATAACTGTGAAAGATCCGTCAGATTTTCTCATCGATTTTTGGCATAGACGGAATGTGTATCAAAAGCTCTAAGCAAAATTTCAAAAGAAATATTCTTAGTTAATGTAATTATTTCTTTTTTTTTTTCCTATATAATTAAGCTTTCGTTAACCTTGAGAGAAAATGATGTAAAGAAGAACTCAAAAATCATTCAAAAGTCCAGGGAAGTTTGTTTGGGCGTGTAATATATATATCGTGTATATACATATATATATATCGTGTATATATATATATATATATATATATATATATGTGGCGAATGTGTGAATGTGTGAGTAGGTGCGTCTGTTGAGAGGAGGAGGAAGGGCGGGAGGGGGCCGTGTGTGCGAAAATGTATCGCCTTCATGTACATGAGAATATCTCAATGTATTAATAATTAATTTAATTAATAAAAAATCTTGGTTCGTTTTTTATCACCTTAAATCGTTCCGTTTCTGAAGAGCTTAATTATTCTATATAGAACACGACTTTACCTAGCGTCCATATCAATGAAAGAATGTAAGGGAGACGAGTGTTCAAGGTTAATATTTTAAAGTGTATATGGCTTTCTTACTATCTCTCGAAAATTTCTAACACAATTCATTCCTTTGGCCAGGACAACGGTTTCAATGTTTTTTTTTCTTTTATTTTATTTTTATTTTTTTCTATAAACGTCGTATCACAGTATATATATATATATATCAGTTTTATAAATATTTAAAGACTGACTTTCGCAAGCAATCTTATGGTGGTTTGTGTTTTTTAAGAGAGAGAGAGGGAGAGAGACAGAGAGAGAGTGACATCTTAAAAAGGAAAAATGCAAATGAAGACTTTGAAAAATACGACTTTGACTCAATACAAAAAATTTATGAGAATAGAAGTTCGCTTAAATTTATGCATTATTATTAATTACTTAAAATATATTGATTTCTTTCTATTTTTTAATTTTTATCAATACGAATGAAATTTATTTCCAAGTCTTTGACTTTTATTATTAATTTTTGTTTTTATGTTTATAAAATAGTTTGTATTTTAGTAATTATAACTTTATTTTTATAATACCTTTTTAAATAAATTTTTTTTTTTTTTTAATTAGTTGTATTTCTTTGTAAAAAAAAAACATTCTTAAAAAAGATATCGTATGGCAAGCTTGTTTTTTAAATGAGTGTAATTTTCTTTGTAACTGAGTGTATATATACATAATGGGCACAAAAGTATAGGGGAGGAAGAAAAAAGAAGGACGTAACGGACAAGAACAGAGCTAGAAACTTGTGATAAAATTTCCGGTAAACATATTGAGTTTTTGAATGCAATCATCTTACCAATGTCGATGTGAGGTTTATTGACAATTATCTGCCACAGAAATCGTATGCACTCACAGAGAATTTAAAATGCCAGTAAAGAATTAAACCAAGTAAGGTGTATATATACTATTGAGACTCTGACTGCGGTTTCCTTATGTCCGGCTTTCCATTCGGTTGTTGGTGGGTGTTCGAAATACTAACGTTACTAATAACGTTGGCCTATACCTGCATACATTTTGGCGAGGACCAGAGATTAGAGCGTAATGTTTTACTCAATATGTTTAAAGCTGTTTTTTGAGTTAATCGTACATTTCCGAATACTTTTTACACACTGACTATTAGTACAAGGATTTAAGCCAGTAGGTAGGTGTTCAATAGTAATATTGCTTTTTTCTTTTTATACCTTACACGGCTTGTGCTACAAGGATACGCTTCGACTAATACTGTTATTCGTAAGCTGACTTTTAAAAATAAGGCGTTATATGGGAAATGATGTGAAAAAGTTGTACAAACCAAAGTATTTTCAATAGCGTTATTCGTTGGTCTAAATGCACGTCATTGTACTAAAATATCTCAAAATTTCCGTTGAACGAATACAAGAATATAAGAATGTCAGACACGCTTAGACCGATTCAGATGTCTACCTCAGACCTTTCTGGGAGTTGCATACCCCTTGTGCTAGAAGTAGTTTAGGTTATAATAAAAAAAAAACAGTTTTGTAATCTGTGAGAAAAAATCCTGGAATTTCTTAAAGTTTTTTCCACTTAATTAGTATCCCACATAAATCACAATTAAAATTGGCCTACCTCCCTTTTGGGGACAAGGCACGAACGCATCACATCTTCTCCGAAGACTATCCATGATAAATTCTAGTCTCCAGACAATAAAAGATATATACGGTACGAGCACTAAAGGGAACCCAAAAAACCATCGAACGCTCATGTCGTCATCACTTCTCTTTTTCTATGATTATCTAAAGCGCTTCAACTTGAAGCAACCTGCTAAGCAACCTAAAAAAACAATCAGCAATTTGCGAGCTGAACTATGATTCAATGCTGCCTATGACGTGAATTCCCTCTTAAAAAAAAAAACAAGTAAGAACATTATAGTCGGGCATAGCCGACATTACATACTCTGCACCGCTTCGCCTAATACAGTTATTCGCTCGTTTTGGTAACAATCCACCGGAACGTACACATGCGAAGCCATTTATTTTTTTTATTTAATTACTATCATGAACAAATTTTTATTAGAACAAAATTAACAATTAGACATTTTTAACATATAAGCATTTCACGAGAATCCTTATACGCGGTGGTATCCAAACGTTAGACCTACGTGGCCCAAATTCGTTAAGGCAGACTTCTTTGTCAACTCATTATTATGGGCCAATTTTCATCATGAAATGTTGGAAATTCGAATTTTTTACCACGCTTCACCTTCCGTAGAAACGGTTATATGAGAGGAGGTTCAAAAAATTGCCCCGCCGGTCCAAAGTTTTCACAACAATTAGGAATGCCGAAATACTACTACTTAGCAAATTTTTTGAAAGTTGAAAATTTGAAAATTGCAACTTTTTTCAACATAATGACTTTTCAGAATAAGGCGTTATATAGGGAGCGGTTAAAAAGGTGGACCGACCATTTTCAAATCCATATATTATTAATCCATATTAATCCATATATTATTTCATTAAAATATCTCAAAAATTGCCCCTTGCAGCTTGTACACAGCAATACATGGACGGACACACGGACACACAGACTTAAATCGATTTAGAAAATGATTGTGAATCGATCGGTACGACATACACTAAATAATAAAACCCCACTCAACACATTCCACCTGCTTACCTTGACCTGACAAGTAAAATTACCTCCAAGTAGTAGAATACATGTCACAAAACTATCCCGCCATCTTCTTAGAAGTTACTTCCATCTGTTGAGATCGTGTAATAATCTCTATGATCTTTTCACTGATGCTCATCTCCGAAGAGTGATTTCTTTTCACTAAAAAAGCAAACCTTTTTCTTCAGCCCAACTTCGAATTTTCATACCTTTTGTCCTTAAATCTTGCATTTTTTTATATTGACCTAATATAACATTTTAATTCCTCCTTCTGTATCTTAACATTAACCTCCTTCAGCGGGGGATTTACAACGTTAATCTTATGTCGTTAGTTATACGCTCGCTACACAATTATTAACCTTAATAGATACACTTTGGTCCAGATATGCCGCAATAGTTATTTAAATGAAAAAGCTTGTCCCTCGCTAACCTAGAAATTTTTTTCTCCACTAACTTATTTAGCTTAGTCCACTGGCTTTCATATAAATTTTGGTAAAACCGGATGGCAGTTCATTTATACTAAATACCACGACTTGAAGTATATCATGTGTCATCGCAAGATGTTTTGCAAACCGTATGCTAAGAAACACGTAAGCTACATAAGAATAACTTTCGATCAGTCGGCTGAGAAACAACGATTCATAGAAAGCTTGGCACTTTGCTAATGAAAATACATAGTTCAGCATAAGATGTAAAAAATATTTGAAAATTATATTACGCTTCTAACTATTCGAACTATTTGAATTTTAAAATGCGGGTAATAATAGTAAAGAATGAAGGGGGAGGGAAAATGGGAATACATTTGTAATGAAAGAGAGAAAAATATAAAACTAATTATATAGTTCAAGGACTTGCCTCTTTTGATGTCAAATTCATTCTTATTGCTCGAAACGCGTCAACTAGTGTTACTGCTGCTGTTGCTGTTGTTGTTGTAACTGTTGTTCCTGCAATTGCTGTAGAAGCTGCTGTTTTGTTTCAGCTTTCACCGTTTTATATCGATCTTTCTCCTCTGTATTCTCGGGTGGTTCGCATTCAAATGAAGACATAGACAAGGTGTTTTCATTTAAAACCAGACTGTTTTGTAAATATGCAATAACATGAGGCAGCTTTTCGAAGGGACACTTAACTTTCTTCCATTCATTAAATTCCATCACTTGTTTGGCCAATTGAGAGCATTTCTCAAAATTGATATGATTATTAGGTAGTCTGGGAAAAAGAATGTTTTTCCTTTATATAAAATTAAGAGGATTGAATTTTCCAATGAAGAAGACAAAAACAATTACTTACCTATTCGAGCATCCTTCGTTGAGAAAGTATAAATCTTTTACAAATAAACTAAAAAATGGAATGATTATGCGTTCGCGTTCTTCGGTGGCACCTTCGGAGCGCCACATTGCCGCTTTCAACGTCGAGCGATAGCTATTGAAATTTGATGTGGGATCCATTTGATGCTCCAACACTGAAAATTTGGCTGATTGAACTTTCGACCACTGAAATGAAGGGCACCGATCTTCTTAGTTTTCATTTAATATATCTTGCAGCTTGTATACGCAACAACATTTCAACAAAATTTCGACAACGGTTCGTTCTCACATGTTTTTTTCTTAAACATACCGTACAAACAGACGTGTCTACTTTATGTTGAATGAAAACTTACACTTAAATACATAAAATTCATGCTCATATTTTGAGCATGGAAAAGAATATCATATACCTTCAGAAAATACTTTCATACCCATCACCGAAAGATGAGTAAGCATCAGACACCCCACAAAGGGCATGTATAGTTTTGATCAACATCATATTCTAAATCGATTTAAGCATATCCGTCTGTCCGTTAAATTTGGCAGAAACATTGAAGGTTGTTGCACGCGGGTTGGTATTGAAAATGGGCCAAATCGGTCGAAGAACAGATCGACAGCACCACACAAACTGAGAATACCTCTGTTTTTCAAAGGGAATAAAAAATGAGTTTTTTGCTCGCTACTCGTAAACCATAGCAGATAAATAGTACAAAAATTTGAAGGCATATTCCATGAACGGTGTTCTAGCGTTTGTGTACAAAAGTGGTAAAAAATTCACCACGACTACCCAATATTACATTATATCAAAATTTGATTTTTTCTTCAACGCCTTTATAAGGCACAGAAATAAGCTTCAAAGACCCCATAAAGTACATAAATTCTTGATCATTTTGAAATTCAGAATGCACCTAAACATATCCGCCCGTTCGTCTGTCAATCTGCCTGTCTGCCCAACTGTGTAGTATTTGAGGCGAAATGAATGTATCGCTTACAAGTTTGCAAACAAATTTAAAAATGACCCAAGCCTATCAAAGGGCAAGCTTATAACGCCCACATGCGCAACAAAAGCTGCCTTTGCTTTCCGTGCACTTATTCTGATAATAGAAGAAATTAGCAGCGCCCACTTATTACTATGACAATTTAGTTCTTTTCCCTCTTTTTAGGATCACAGTGATGGGTGTAAAAGATTCAGTCATGACCGAATATAAAGTTCTTACTTGCTTCATTTAATTTCTATCAATCAAATCAAGACTTTCATATACCTAACCAATCGATATTTAATCTTTCTACGGATTAGCAATAATTTTTACGTTAAGTAATGAATTTAACAGTTTCGAAACGTTTATAGGAAACGTATATGTAATAAGTATGCGTCGTTCCGTTCATGGGCGCAATGCGTCCAATATAAATATATTAAGCATGAATAACTTCTGAATAGCTTTTAACGATTAAGGGGATCGGACTTTTATTCAATATCAATCGTGAACAATTCTTTCTTTTAAAATTAATTTTATCATCGTTACGGGTTCATGCAACATAGGTTGTATATTTAATAATAAACTTACGGTTTTCTTTAGTCGAGAGATCGGCGATAAATTTAGACCAGCTATTATCGCCATCAGACTATTAAAGTTGCCAATGTTGAAACATTCACGGGCCGTTTCAATCCAATATTCTATAATACGTACACGTTGCTTCTTTTTAGGATACTACAGAATAGAAGGAGAGGAGAAATCCTTTAATTTTTGCAATTTTTTCTCTAATTTTTATTTCTCTTTTCTTACCTTAACAATCTCACTGGCTGTTAAATAGCTTAAGCGATTAAACCATTCCACATAGGATTCTAGATTTCTCGTTTTTTTCATATCATTTAAGGAAGAGCAACTCATTAGCTGGGTAGAGTCCGTTGCTGACTGCTGTTTATTCGATATTGTTGCAGTATTAGTAGTCGCCATTGCATTATGATATTCTTTGGCGAAAGCCTGTACAAACTCCTCTGGACCTATATGAGAGAGACGTTCGAGTTCGATGGCGGTTAACTGATGGGCCAACTGAGCGCAACTTGAACACAAATCCATAATACCGAAAACGTCATGACTATTTGTGGAATCTGTTGAGGAAACGCCAGCACTAGAAGCGGACGAAGTGAAGGAAGAGTTTGCATAAGAAGCAGGATTTGTTGATGAAGAGAGATTAGCCAAATGAGAATGGGCCAGGTATACGGCTTTCTGATGACCATCATAATAATGTTGATGATGTGGCATTTGTTGATGATGATGGCTATTCAGAACATGAACCGCCGCTTTACTAAGTGAGTTATGTGCGTTAATACCTGATGAACTATTATATGAAGCCGAAGCGGAAGTACTATAATGCGATGACTGCTGGCTTGATGTCGCATTATTAAAATCACTTTGCAATAGTGTTTGTAGAAATTCTTCATATTTTTCCAAAGCAGTTAGGCGTTGTACCAGCAATTGCAAAATACGTGATACCTGCTTGCCCAATGAATTGTCTATATATACACATTTGCGCGTTAGAATGCGTACCTGTTGCATTAAGCGTTCATCGCGAAAATCATATGGAAATGTTTCTATCCATTCGGCTAGTAAACGTATGCAATTTTGTGCAGATTTTTGGGTGTGGGTTCGTTGTTGTTGTTGTTGCTTTTGATGTTGTTGTTGTTGCTGTTGGTGTTGTTGTGGTAATGGTGGTGGAGGTGACGGCGACAATAATTGTTTTTCGTTGCGGTCAGATTTGTGTTGACTTAGCGGCGACGCCGAATTGTTTGAGAGAGACATGTAACTGAAATGTCCCGCATCATCAACCTGATCGCTACTAATTAGTGCACAAGTTACCGCATTGGATTGTTGTTGCTGCTGCTGCTGTTGTCTCTCCCAAGTTTGTGATATTTTCGCTAGCAACTCGTGGGGTCTTATGAATAATCTGGCACTTAGCAAAAATGAGAAAATATAGATTTTGTCGGGATAGTAGTCGTGTGTAGGCACCATATGCTCAATTAAAGCCTCCAAACTGCCAGATATTAAATTATCCTCATAATAAACCAAGGTGTGTGAGTCATTGTTTAGTCTTCCAGTCTCTCCCACTTTATCAACCACATCATTTATACTACTTTCCAACGCCTGGACACTTGTCAAAAAAGTCTGCGGCTTAACGTAACGATATCTATTGGGATCACGAAGGCTTTGTTGTAAATTTTGCTGTCCTGCCTGCCCATTTACACTGGAGGTATCACGTCGGTGTACTGCAATTTTATTAATAGTATTTCCTCTCGCTACGTTACCACTGCCACTGGAGAATGTAGGTGCGATTGCTGTTGTATTAACATTTTTAAGAATTTGATTAATATTGCTATTGGTCCTGTATTGCGTTGTCGTTGTTGTTGTTGCTGTTGTTGTTGTTGTTGTACTGGTTACAGCTGGTGAATGATTCTGAGTTATGGCCGTTGCTGTCGTGTGCTGTTTCGTTTTGTCGGGCAGTGTTGTTATAATCGGTTTAGTTTTTCCATCTACACCTTTTAAATTAATTGACTTGGTGTTGTGTGCGTTAACATTTGTATTAATCGAGCCGAGATGGTGATGAGGATGATGTTGTACGGTTGTTGCACTGGCACTTTTACTATTTTGTGGCTTTTGACTATTGTTACTGCTATTATTATTGGCACTATTGCGCCCATTTGTGGCGTTATTTAAGCCGTTATTCGACATTGGCAATCTATTCGCTAATTATCTATCTTGGATTGGTCCACGTTTTTTATAGGCGAGGTACGCCTAAAATATAGAAAAGGATCACATAACTATTACTTGAAAAAATTTATGATAATTAGTCGGAATGGCCGGGCATTGCATACCTTACATTATGCTTCGTCTGTTATAATCTTAACTTAGGAACTTTGTGCCGTATAAAAATGACTTTTTTAAAAGTCTTATGTGGACAGAGGAAAACTCTCTCTGGCCCTATTGATGTTTTGCATATGTCTATTTCTACCAAGAGGGATTATTTCTGTCCGCTTTTCTTGTCGAATTGCCATAGTCGTGAAAATGCAAATAGGAAGCTGATATATGACACAAGCATCGATATGACACGATCAATTAGGAATCGAAAATTAGAAAAAAAAGGTTATGGTCTACTTCCATGCATGGTCATAAAAGAGTGGAAGCTCAGGCAACCTTGAAAAAACACCAGCAATTTTTTCATATTTTTGTTTCGATTTCGTGAAGATAGTTCGGCTTAAAAGCGATCCCGATTACTTTACTAATACGTCCACAATTAAAACTAAATTGCGAATAACAATTTATTTTCAAATCAATTCGGGGTTTAAACAATGCCTCATCCCGTCTCATCTAAGTTGTCCTACATTTGACATGTATTGAAAGAGACCCTTTTTTCATATGACGACTTTTTCATTTAGCATTGTACGAATAGTCGTTAAAATGATTCAATCTAATTCACTGCCAATACGATTCGCACTTTAAATCTCAATAAAACACCTCAAAAATTGCGAATGCCCTGAGAGAAAGGAAAATTATAATGGAATGTACGAAATCATTATTTTGATAATGTGGGAATATTTATAAAAGCTCAAGGTCGTACATCAGAAGTCGCATAAAGCATTTTCGATCAGTGCTAATCCAGTCCTGCTAAAAAATTCCGGCTTGGGCGAAATCAATTAGTACTCATCACTGCGGCGTGTCTACGGGCTTTTATTGCGAAATGGAGCAAATACTCATTCATTCGATTTATCGATCGTGTATGATGTTGTATACATTATATATTTAATTGTCAATCGTATCTTTCTCCGATTTGTCAGCACTTTGTACATGACTGTACACTCTCAAAAGTATATCTACATATTCCCTCTTATTATAGAAAAAAAAAAAAAAAAAAAATTTAATTTACTTTATTTTTTCACTTTACAATATTACAAGGAATTACTTTCTTCATAAAAATAATATTATAAGTAAAAACACTATGGTAGAACCCGGCCCATGATTAAATACCCTACACCACCTTGCTATATACAAAATAAATTTTATATAACGATTTTTCAAAATAAGGTGTTACATGGTACATGGTCGAAAAAATGGTCCAATAAAGCCATTTTCAATAGTGATCTACCTTGGGTAAAAAAATAAAATATCTAAAAAATTGCAACCTCTAGATTGAACAAAGGAAATCAACACGGACGGATGGACGGACACACTTAAATCAAATCGCAATATCTCTGAATCGATCATTATAATAAAATATAGATCTATCTCAAGTCCTACTTAGCGTTGCATACATCCGTGCAATATAGCTTTGTATCATAAATTGTACATCGTATAAAAACTTGTTATTCAAATTTAACAGTACCACCAAACTCATTGAACGGCACAACGCAATAAATGATAAGATATATAAAATTAGCATATCTTTAATAGCATTACACAATATGCCCTAATATTGCCTATACTATGCTATAAATCGGGTCATGGGCTTTTTAACAATAGTGAGCAAATTTATAATCCGATGATGATGATTTTCGAAATTTATACAAAAATTTCGTTTAGGGAAAAATTTAGGATGCAAATAAACTTGACCCTAAAAGTTTTTTATAATAAATGTCACCGCTTAACACAAATCAATCAAGACAAAATGTTCAATAATGAGCCAACCCATTATCATAATTTTCAAACTGACCGAAGGTAATTCAAATAAATTTAACTAAGTGCGTTTTTCTTTCCTTTCTTTCTATGTAAACTAATGCTTTCAACACACGCGTAAAAAGAGGAATGGAACGGCAGATAGGGGTAAATTAAAGAGGAACACAATACTTTAGAGATAAGAAACACCTATGCGTACATTGGTTCATCAAAATTCAAAAACGTTTCTCTAATATTTTCAATGAAGTTTATTAAATGAAATTTTGATATTTTGATTAGTGGTCTTCATTGGCCGAAGAAGACCAATGGCCCAGGGCTTATGATCTGTTTGTTCGATAAGTAGGTTTCGCTCATCCGTTTATTCCTATACGATGTAACTGTCTGCGGAGTGTTCGTGGGACACAAATTTGTGCTGAAGACAAATTAGTTCGTGACAGTAGGGCACAGAATCTATCGTCTGGCGGGGTTGAAGCAACTAACTCTAATGCTAAGCTCCAATGTTAACTTTTCGTGGTATCGATCGGTGACTTTTCACACCCTTTGTACAAGGTGTATTCTATACACCGATTTTCAACTCTTTTTTTTTTCGCAGTCACTTTTTTTTTCACTCACTCTTCATCACTTGTTGGAGCAGATGGAAATTCGCTTCATAAATTATTTTACCGTTAATTGTTGCGGTATCCAAATATCGAGCTACTTTCTGTATCTGGCCTTATTGCAAAAGATTCAGAATAAGGTATATGCTGCTAATTAAAATAAAAAATTTTCGTCACAAAAATCGTAAATATTTTTTCTCAATCTCTCGAAGCCTTATCCTCTTAGCCGAGGTTATATTGTAAAATGTAGAGCATTTTTTTTGAGAATTTCGCTACGAAACTTCCTTTTACCCAATACTTTTTCCGGGTCTTCAAAATTTTCAAAAGTTTAGATAAAAGTGAAGAGAATAATTCAACGTAAGAATTCCAATAGGTTATCACGATCGAAATTTTAGGCACAGGTTGGATCAAGGTCATGAAATGATAAGCTTGGCCTTCTCTACCCGTGATCCAATAAAACACTTATTTCCATTGTTTCATGCTCACAAGCAAACTATAGATAAGAAACGGCTTAAGTTGGCAAACAAGCAGAACACTGATCAGATATATCTATGACGAAATAGTCAAAATGGTTATGTCCGGTAGGTACATACGCGGGTAGAGTGCAGAAGATCTTTCAGATAAATTATAGCAGGGACAAGCAGTGCGGTTACATAGCCTCAAATTGCCAGAACAATGCAGAGTACTTTTCACTAGCAGACTTGATTGGTGAATACAGCTTCACTTTACTTCTGCCTAATTCCTGCCATTGTAAGGGTTGTGCATACTCAGGGTACAGCCTGCCTTTGAGCGTTCAAGCTATTCGTTGCGCGTAACGCTGCGCGAGAACGTCTGAACAGAACGTGGCAAAGTTCGCTCCTAGACACCCCCGTTTTGATCAGATATAAACGATCTAAATGGCACGGATGTCGGCTAGACTAAAATATTTCTTGTACCGCTTCTATACGTTCACATCTCCAGCGGATAAGATTTGTTCTTCCCATGTTCGAAATATCTGCGCTGCCGATATTCCTTCAAATAATAATGCTATATGAAAAGGTCTGCTCGTGACGTCCTCTGTGCGATGGCAGTTCACTTTCTTTGTAATTGGCGTTGAAGGTAATTATACTTTCTTTCAGCTTTTCTTAAAGGGACGAACCCTGTACATGTATAGACAATGATGGTCAGATATTGTCGGTTGTTAAGTGAATTAGGACAATCCTCAGACTTGCGAGACATTCCTGCAAAGAGAGGACCTAGTCCAAGGTTAAACTACCAGAAATGAAAGTTTGGATATTATCCAAACCGTTCCCTCTGGGCAGAACGAGGCGTATCAAGCACTTCAACTTTTTTTAAAGGCCCCCCATATGGTGATACCACAGCCACCACGAGTACTCGCCGAAGGTCCGCACCCAAGCGGTCAGGCCTCACACATTGGTTAAACTAAAGTTGTATATACCCGAAGTTTCTTGCGTCGTATATAAAAGTGCAAGCTTTCCCCCGAAGAATCCTGGCAAGAAGCGCTAATAGTTACGTCCCTGTTGACCGATGTAGCCACCCCTGCCTGCCTAAGCAAGTACACGTGACATTGGATGAGCGAACAGCCTGGTTTTCGTGGACTCCGCTTGGGTGGCCGAGTGGACAAAAGGAAGTGGACTAAGAACTCAATGATCTTGGACTCAAATCTCAAGAGCGATGAAGTTTTCAATAAAGCCTAAAGACGTAGATGCTAAGACCTTCGGACTTTAGTCATAGAATTCATTTCTCCGCCTAAATTAATAAATAAAAGTGATAAAAGTAATAACAATAATAATGATATTTTTCGTACTAAGACGAAAAGGATTGATTTAGTGAATAAACAATAAACAATAGTGTGCTCAGAAGCTAAGAGTACTCTTTTATTAGGTAAGGATAAAAATAGAATTTAAGAAGTAGAATTTATTCTTAGGTGGATGTCGAATAATTTCATGGGGGGTGACTGTAAGATGAATAAGATTCCCTCGCACATTGGTTGAGCTAATTTCAATAAGTTACCTATACTTTCAGTCCAGATCTAGGAATAGTTAAATTTCAATCATTATTTTCCTTCAACCGACAGCAACATCACTTTTACGCAAAAGAATTTGATATGCGACGACTAAGACTAAGACTTCAACATTTGATTTACTTTAATATTAAAACATATGAAGAATTTATAAGATATTTAAAGTTATTAACTGTTAAGTAAAAGTAAAAAGTATAAAAAATTTTGTACAATTATATAATGTTTTGTAATTATTTGTTTTTTTTTTTTTTTTGCTTATCGCTATATTTAAAATACAACTAATGTAAAGATACAGTATAACGCAATTTTCGTTTTTTTTTTTTCAATAACGTAAGTACATTACGTACAATTATGCGGTTCTCAACACATACATAACTGGGTCATTTTCTCTTATACGTACGTGAGTACACCTATCATGTGCATGTGTGTATTGTACAAGTCATAAATTCATCACCGTGTATATGCTTGTAAGTAATTAGAATTTACAACAGCAACAACAATAATTA